CCCCTGGACCCCACGCCCAGAGAACCCCCCTTGAAAGGACCTGGCTACGGGCCTGCTGAGGAAGCGCAATGTGCCGGGGCTTTAAAGCGAATTATTGATTATAGCTCAACAGTAGGCCTACTAATTCAATAGGATATAGGCTAGATACTTACGATAGGGGAGAGTCGAGCTAACAGCCACTTCAGCAGGCTCAACGACATATTCCGGATTCACTAGGCATACTAAAAAACAATAATCAACAATTTAATTTATGCTTTCTTCTAAGCTATTTTCTTTGTATATTAGAAATCCTGTAATTCGTTAGACATCCACGCTTTCTGTTTATTGCAATAATGGAGTATTTGGGAACCCGAATAAACTTCCAACGAGTTAGACATATAAGACCGACCTGTTACTCAAAATTGATCAGGTTTAGTAAACATGCAGTACGCCTCCGCATCCCCCTCCCCCAGCACCAACTTCGTAAAATATTGCTGCAAATTCCTAAATACCAATTCATTTGAAATGATGAAATGAAATAATTAATACCTAATTAACTGCACAATTTCCATAAATAAATTAACCGCATGCTCTGCACGTTTACCTTTAACACCTCCTTCATTCATGCGCACTTCGGTCGGACGTCCGTTTTCTATATGTCGAACCTGATCACCAGTTTTTCGGTTTCTTTTGCACTTTCCTTTTAAGCAGTAAATTAGTATCATGATAAAAATGAAACAAGCGATGGATAGCCCTACCGCTAGGCCTACAACTTGTCCATCGGGGTTGGTGTTATCAGGAACAGTGTAACGTGTCCTTCGTGACACAGAAGGTGGAGCGCTAACTGCTTGCGTCACAGTAGTGGTCTGTATCTGTGTCGTCTTTTGAACTTCAAGATAACCTTCCAAAAAACAAAAAAAACCCAAGCGTCAATACATTTTACCATCGTCATTGTCATTATCCACCGTAATCATCGTCACCGTCATCGTCGTCATCATCATCATCATCATCATCATCATCATCATCATCATCATCATCATCATCAACATCATCATCAGCATTGTCATTTTCAAATTGATAACGACAATGAGAATACGGCGTATTATAATCGTCGTTATCCATGATCGTTATCGTCACCATCGCCATCATCGTCGACGTCATCATTATTATCATCATCATATTTATTAGGCCTATTATTATTATTATCACTAAGTATTACATTATTATGGAGAATAAACAAATATTATTGAACAAATCATTATAATTTCCCTTATGTTCATTTTCAATATTATTGTTGTTGCTACTGTTGCTGTTAAAATCGTCATAGGCCTAATCATCGTCGTCGTTGTTATCGTTTTTGTCATGATCACCACGTCATCATCACCATAATCATCGTCCTTATCATTGTCATCGTTTTGTCATCATCGAGATTATCATCATCATCATCATCATCATCATCGTCATTTTCCAAATTGATAACGACAATGAGAATACGGCGTATTATAATCGTCGTTATCCATGATCGTTATCGTCACCATCACCATCATCGTCGACGTCACCATTATCATCATCATATTTATTAGGCCTATCATTATTATTATTACCATTATTATTATTATTATTATTATTATTATTATTATTATTATTATTATTATTATTATTTATTATTATTATTATTATCACTAAGTATTACATTATTATGGAGAATAAACAAATATTATTGAACAAAGTTGAAGTTGAGAATTACCAGCGCATTTGCTGGAGCACTGCTGCCGGTTGTAATATTTTGCCGTAACGTTGCAAATATGTTTACATTCAATACAAGTGTCCGTTGATACATCACAGAAATAGTTGAGGTCGTATCGGCAGAAGTAACTGCATCCTTCCCATATATTTTTCACAACTGGCATTGACATATAACCTAAAGATAAAATACAATAAGTTCCAAAAATGTAAAGGAAATTTCCAAATCTCAAACATTTCATATTTTATTCGAATAAACGCTCCGGGGCGTTAATAATAATTGTTGAGAAGGGTTTTTGAGGGGAAGTTTATTAGAGGGAGGCGTTTACTTTTTTGGTGAAAATGGGTAGGTATACTGAAATAAACGCCCGTTAATAATTTCACTAGCTGTAATGTGGAACTACAACACATGACTACCGTCAAATGTTTTATTGTGTGATCATAAAAATGTATTGATCCCAACTAAAGTTTAGAAAAAATGTAGAATGTATTGAGAATGATAGGGTTTTAAGCGGGTCGTTTATGCGAATACGAGCTACATTTACACTATACACGATAATGACACGACAATTACATATATCATCGCGTCGTTTTTTCAATGGCGTATCTAGAAGTCTTTAAATGAGGGTGCTGATGGGGGATCTCGAAGGTGAAGTAGGGGCTCGATGATCAACTGAGGGGCGCTAAATTGCAAAATAAGATGATTTTAACTACTGTACTTGCAAGTGATTTTTTTGTGGGCGGCTGGGGGAAAGTAATTTTTGGAGGGGTCGCCCCAGCACACCCCTAGATACGCCACTGCGTTGTTTAAATAATTGAGCGGTATGACTGATATCATCAGTGTACGATGTTCAGTTTGTGTAACATACCAAATTCGAAAAAAAGAGGGGGGGGGGGGAGCTTGCAATAGCAGAATAATTACTATAATGGGAAGCCTCCACGTATATTTGTTAACATAGCCCCACCGTCCGCATTTAGATTCATCAAGCCTCCAGGGTAAGCGGGTTTTCAATGATAACCTTGTTTTAGGAGAGGGAGGGGTGGGATGTGGGTGTAGAAAAGTTTGACCTTCAGATATACTCTTATCCTCTATAATGAATGAGTAATATTTGCTATATCGGGCTGTAAAATGCTTACGAATGAAACTAACAAAGGCTAAAATTATTTGATTAACCCACCAGACCACAACAGATCCCTCCAAAACATAATGAAATGGCAATGTGCGTAATACCAGTGGCGGGTCCAGGTATTTGAAATAGTAGGGGCCCAGGGAGGGACTTTGACAGATGGAGGGGCAATATCGTGCCACCTCAGTTCTACGATGGTTGGGGCTGAGATAAGAAAATTTACGATTTTTTTCACCTTTTTGGCCGGAAATGCAGTCTCGGACTTAAAATTTGAATGTAACTTTCTTTTTTTCTCAATTTTTTTTTTACAATTTTGAAAAATATAGGGGAAGGGGATCCGGGCCGGCTTCCCCTCCCCCCCCCCCCCCCCACCCCCCCCCACACAGAATTCAAATTGCCCTGGTATGGTCAAGTGAGCAGATTTGCTGTGGGATGGTCCAGGGGCGCAGGACTGATACATACCTTTACAAGAAGCTTCACATTGGCTATTATACGAATAACCACCGCCACATATCGCGTCGCAGGGCATACACACTCCTATATCCTGTCGACAGAACATTTTAATGTCCATTTGACATTCGTTGGTGCAACCTTCCCAAGTGTTGGAGAGTGCATTTTGAGCCGCATTGACAAAAGCGTTGAAGGCAATTATGAGTTGTATTACGTATGTTTCAGGTTTCATTTTCGAGAGTAAACACTGAAAAAAAAGTTAATGTCATCCAAGACTCAAGAATTCAAGAAAAAAATTACAATACTGACGGTATATGCTATGCAACCGAAGTTCTATTTCTGTTTTTAATATTAAGGGAAAGACTACGGTAAAATGTTGACTACAGTGTATATATGTAAATATAATCAACTCTACACTTTGACCATGGTCGAAGTCAACCTTTGCTATATATATATTTATAGGGAATTCCCGTTGTTATTGATTACTGGTGACTGGTACTACACACCTCATTTCTATTGTGTGCTCACGACCACAAATAGACCTTTGATATTTTTTTATATTAGCCCCGGAAAAAGTAACATCATGCCCAATGGTAATAAATGTTTTTTTTTGTTTTTTTTTTGTTTTTTTTTTAAATTATTTTTTTTATCCATTTTGTTTATTGAGATACGAAGGACTTTTTTCCCGGTTGCTGCCATAGCAATTAGAGGCTTATAATTGAAGATTCTCACATCTGTAATTTTCTCCCTGACGAGTTGTGTTGTTCTCCCTCATGGGGCAGTGGCATATCTAGGAGATGCAGGGGAGAGGAGGGGCGCAGGCCTCCTCCCCAACAAAAACAATTCTCGCGCCCCGCACTTGACGAAGGACTACCCACTTCACCTTCACCCCATCGTTCCCCCACCCCCTGTCTCTTATACACATCTAGATGTGTATAAGAGACAGCCCCTATACAGGTATGTCCATCAAATACTGTATATTTACATACCTGCCAACATTCGAATATCAAAAATAGGGACGCTATTCATTGATGACAAACAATTGTAAGAATTAAGATCAGAGGGTAGATCCCGGGGGGATGGGGGATATATATCTACCAATATTTGACAAGGGGGGTATGGTCCATTGTATCATCCCCCCAATATTTTGACTATGTATGGGATAAAATGGAGCTTTACACACTTCAAAAGACTGTCACAGAAATAATTTGAACTGTCTTATGCGCTTACAATGATG